CTTCCCATTCACGTCGGTACGCCACGTAACCGACTGAAAATACCAAGCCACTCTATGGACAGTCAACCAATCGCGATGGGTATTTGCTCGTCGTCCATACCCAATTCACTCTCTCATTCGTCGTACGATTCGCTTCCTTCTGGGTCCCATCCATGGTTTCCGCATGGTATCTTTCCGTCGCGGAAGTGCATGTGAAGCAGTCTGAGACAAAGTGGATCTTCTTACAGAGCAATTTAACAACAGCCGCAAACGCGTGCTCAAAATAAGTGCGAGAGTTCTCGGGTTGTAATTTCCCGTGGCAGCCCCCAAATGTAGTGAACAGCCCTCAGCCGCGGCTGTTACTACGTGTTACCGTAGACTACACTACATAGGTGCATAATAAATATCTAACGCCAAACACGGCAAATGCCCCTTAAATGGCCCCAAGAGACCCAAACACGGATTCTATAACCGAAATCCCGTTCCAGTTGCTAAGTGTCCGTCTTTGCAATGGATGGTTCTGCCGAGTGTCTGAACCCCTAGTGCCGAATCTTCTCGGGCCATGGAGCCCCTGTAGTGGTCAGCTGGCCTACGCTGTCACTACGATATATCCCTAACCAGGCAGAATACGTGCACACAGTATATTCAGGCACCAAAACTAGAATTCTCGCTGCAACTACCAACTAACACACTCAAAAACCAAATATACGATTGAGTTCCCAATATCGTTCCTGAGAGAAAAGCCAGATAAATAGAACTGATCCCCGACCCTCGCCTAGGGCGTGGGCCAGGGTCGCAGCAACACTCTCGCACCCAGCCCCAAGCTGGTGCCGGCTGGCGACCACTCTGATCCTATGAAGCGGCTTCCCTATCTAAAAGTGTCCTAACCTCCCTTTCTCTGAAATACTCTACAATCTTCGTTCCTTTCCCTGATTTTAGGCCTCTAGAGGCCACACCAAAGCACCATTGTAGTGCCTGTGCACTACAGCCCCCATACTCTAGGAGCTGTAGGCACCTGCAGCCTAGTTGGCCAGTTTTGGTCTAAAGGCTCCTTATTAAATATTATATATTTTCTGTATTGTGCTTTTATCGCGAATTAGATAGCCAGAGGCTCAACGAAGAGCGCATTGTAGTGCCTGTGCACTCCACTGACCCCTAAGGCGGTCAGACTACAGTCAGTTCTCTTTGGACTCTCCTTTCAATGCATTTGATCAGTACTTGGGTTTAAGGTTTGTTAGTTGATTATTTAGTCTGTTTCAGAAGCAAATGGCTGAGTCCGGCGATAGGTATTGAGTGTGCGGATAAGCAGGTGCGTATAGGATAAAACGCAGTAACAGCCCTGGGTGATGTTCACTACACTAGCGGGAGCAGGGTAGCCGTCGTACCCGTGTGACAAAGGTCGCACTGCTTCATAGCCCACGGTTGAGGGAAAATGTACACATGCTAGCTAGTGCGAGCCACGTAAATGCTGCACAGTTGCCTACAGTTCTATTCCATGCACTAAAAGGGATCTTCAGTGTGCTCTGGGGTTCCATTACAGTAGGCTTTGAATTACACTAGTAACAACGCCTTACAAGCTGTTTCCTCTCCGTATTAGCCCAGGCCCTCTGCTGCTGCGCCCAGGTCACATAGGGGCTGGAGGGGAGCCCAGCTGCTGTTCGATTACTCCTAGTTTTTTTGACTCTACTGGAGCTACGCGGTTTCCTCTGCTAAAATCGAGGACTTCCCTTACGCTGGTTAAGGGGCAAGCGCGAGCTGCAAGCACCACGCCCACGTCTGGGCAGCCTCCTTTATATCAATGGTTAGTCGTGGAGCCAGAGGCGAGATATTTTCCCTAATAATTTTGCCAAAGGTTCATCCTGTTCTACCCCCCAAAAATAGATGTTGATCAAGATATGCCCTCCGGATGGGAAATGACCAACAGCCGGGAACGTCGTTTCGCTAGAACGGGCCCAGTATCTGCACCCATGTAACCAAAAATGTGTTTGCCAAACAGGGGTAAACGCCCCTGCTTTGCCCAAACGTCCACGTGAGACGCGCGACGCAATGAGAGGGCAGCGGGAGAACCGCTTGCTTCTCCGTGAGTGTATATTCGTCTTGAACGTGCACCCGAAGTGCAAAGCTTGCTATTACCCGCCCTTTTTCTGCAGAGGGGACGCAAAACAATGATGACTTAACCAAAGCAAGGCCATCGCTGTTCTGGAACGCCGAACACAAAATTTTAAAATAGGTAATAGTTAAGCAAAAAACAAAACGCTCGCCTCCAAAGCACATAGCCCCAATGCGACACGGATTTTTAGGTCTATCATTTCTCCAAATAGCCCTGCAGCAGATCAAGCAACAAACAATACAGCAAGCATGCTTCTGTTGCTGGTGATGATGCTGCAGTTGCTGGACGCTCCTTTTGCTGCTGGCAGCGGTGTTGCTGCTGCTGATGGTGCAGCTGCTGTGTTTGTGGGCATCAGCAGAATCAGCAAATGTATAACGGACTGAAGGTCTCCAAGGTGCTCTGCGGTCTAGATTTATCCTCGGGTAGGCAACGGAACCGGCTACAAAAAATTAAGAAAATAATCAACGGGGACTATCGAAAAAAGGCCAATTCGACCCCCTATGTAAGAAGAAGCTTCCAGACCCTCTAAGGAGTTGGAAGACCCTGCAAGACACCGCCTCTGAGTGCTCCGTAGGTACTGCCCCTGGCAATGCGGACTCTTTGGAGAAAATACTCTTCGAGGTAGAGCCCTAGGCCAGGAAACGCAGCAGGATTTCTACTTTGCTCTTCTGAATCCACCCGCCATGGCTCGACAATGCATGATTGCGTTTCCAGAGCAAAACATGAAGCAAAGCTATACCGCATAAGCAACTTAGTCCAAGCTTCGTCTGTCATTACAGGTGATCGCCGTCTCTGGTGTAGCGCTTAATCCGACTCCCCTTGCTGAGCTGAGTGATATTCGCAGCCGAGTTCTTGTCTGAGGAGCAAAAATAACGCGCATTAGCAAGGAATCGGGAATACTGAGAGATACGCGCAGTTGCCAAGCACACTGCGTGACCACGACAGTATATTCGGAGCCGAGTTCTTGTCTGAGGAGCAAAAATAACGCGCCTTAGACAGGAATCGGGAATACTGAGATACGCGCAGTTGCCAAGCACACTGCGTGACCACGACAGCATCGGGAGAAAGCTTCAGTGATCACCTTGGTTATACCCTTAATATACTTGACTCATATACGTGCTACATTGGCAGGCAAAGCCAGCAAACAACTTCTCCTCATCGAAAACTTTTTCATTATGTGTGTCACGGATTGATGATCGCATTGAGCAGCTGAATGGCTGTCACATAAGCAAGGTTAGAACTAATTTACGCCCGATCAGACCGCTTGGCCTGCCCTCTACTGTACCGCATATTTCTGCTCCATTTCTGTGAATCAGCGTGAGCTGCAGGAGACTATTTGGATTTTGTTGAGTTGTGGGCTTGCTGAGCGTGCATTACACCACTTTGCTACAGTAGGAGCTCTGCATTTAATACATCCGGCAAATCTTCCTACAACCTTGTGCACTTATGCTTCATCGGGTATTAATAGGTTGATATACCCCAAAACTGCTGCCTTCGTAAAACTGTTACAACGGAGTGTACTCACTTCCCCGCAGTTTCTAGCGGCGCCTCTGCATTGAGTCTTCTTGCTCACTTTTCCTTGGGAAGCAGACTGCTCTCCGTACAAGAGGACAATATTATTAGAGGAGGTGAGAGGATCACATTCGCATTGCTATTTCTGCACATGGCACTCAGTATTGGCGTCTGTCACCCGCAGCGTGAGACTCGGCGCATTCCTCAAGATGCATCTTGCATCTTGAGAAGTGCGACTACAAAGAAGCAGCGAGCTTCTTCTGCCTCCAAATCCCTGGCGCCGCCATGTCTGCAGATTAGAAAGGGTAAGCACTCTTCACGACTTGCCAGCCTGCCTGCTAGCTATTGGCGTCTGAGCGTCGTCCTGCACTAGTAGTTCCCTACCGAAATCCACTCCAAATCCTCCCAACACTAGTAGTTCCCTACCAAAATCCCTAAGTCCTCCCTTGAAAGGACTCCACCGCAACCAGTCAACCACCAACCCATGATCTAATGTTCCTAGGGATGTTCCTAGTGATACCCGCCCACTCTAACATACCAAAATGCTTCCCTACTTCTACCACTACTTCCATGTTCGACACTGCTGGACCTGCTGTTGATGCTCGCTCCCACAAAACATCTAGCATGTAGGTAATCCAGTATACACGCAGAATAGACTATTACACTACCTGCGTATCTGTTAAGTGCCTAAGCATCTGGGGTCACAAGCGCAACGCATGCGATGCGAGCAGTCCCCAACACCGTATCACTACCATCGCGGCATCTCGAGCTGCCATCCGCATGCGCAGATAATGAAAAATAGCTTCGTTTGCAAGGCAAGGAAAGGCAGAAATGCAATACTCATATAATTGTGCACGAAGCACCACCACCAGCACTCAGCTCCACATATCTACACGCAGCATAATGTGCTACAGCGGCCTTTACACCAACGCATACGCACACCCATGAATGTGCGAATGCGTGTTAACTGACTCATGCGCGCAGGCGCATGCGTCACATTAACACTGATGCAGCGCAAAGAAGACCCACACCCTGCGCCGCCAACGCGAAATACTTCCATGCATTGCATGCATGCAGCCATGCATGCATAGGCCCATACTATATTACAATGCGCTGCAGCATTCTGGTTCCTCCCACGTTATACTCACCACACAAGGAGCAGCGAGAGGGGCGTCTGCGTGCCTCTAACCGTCGTTATCTCGTTGCACGCACGGCACAAGCTGCATGCTGTCGCTTCCAAGCCCCTCCATTTGTCCTACTGCTTGTCCTCGCCCACTCCGTTGCCACTCCTCCATCATCCGCCACGCACAACCATCTACTCTCCCGTCCTTAGTTTGGTCTTCTGTCCTCACCTTGATGTACATCTGAAGCCATTGGTTTTTTGCTGCTGCCGCTGCCCTCATTCAATGCTAACTTTCTTTTTATCTCCCGCTGCCTTCTCGCTCGTTGAGATGCGAACGAAGAGAACTCCATCCTGCATCGATGCACTCACGGTGTCATCTATTGCGTTCGGGGGCAACTGAAACCGCCTGCAAAAGAAGCCAAAGTTCCTCTCGGCCACCAGGCACTTCATCTGCTCCCCGTACACCTCCTTTAGGTTTATCTTGGGCCGATTTCCTGAAAAAGTAGCAACACGGGCAGGAACAACTGTAGCAAAGAGAATGATAGCAGCTATAGTGACACCAGCAACACACCTGCATGAAGCAGCGTGCTCATGCACAATCGACGACGACTTCCGAAGGGCCCTTCGGTAAGCATAAACTCCAAGCCAGAAAGCGCAACACATGCATGCAAAACACGGCAAAGAACGAAAAGGCGAACTTGTTACCAGCTGCAACAGCAAAAGCAGCAACTGCATAGCAATTTCCGCAGCAGCAGCGGCAGCAGTGCCTGTCTTGCTGCACCAACTGCGGCAGAAGTCCCCGCAGCGGCAACCCAGCGAGCACAACAGCAGCACACGTGCTGACCTGAGACGCTGAGGCATCTGTTCTCCGTCTCTACACTAATATCGTCCTTCTTGAAACCCGGCAAGTCGAAGCCAAAGACCAGCTGATTCGCCTTCGCGTCAAATACAACATCGACTTGAGGCCTCAAATTGATCTTCTTTGCAGTCTCCGCATCGCATGCAACCTCGAACACTGTATTCGGCGCCGCCGTAAACGTGCCACCTTGGGTCACGGGGCACCAAAAACCCGCCTGCACAAGCACAAACCCGCAACCACAAATCGTCTACTCTTGGCATCTGCTGCGATTGCCAATAGGCGCCGCTCTGCCCAGAAACTGACCCCTTCCAGGCAAAAGATGGCAGAATACCCACTGCAGCCTCCCTAACGGCACGACACAAAAGGCCTCACCACCGTCTACAGAAACCTCCATTTGCGCTTGCACGTACACACATTTTTGAATACACAATTAGTGCATATATATTATATATATGCTAAACATACACCCACAGGACCGATTCAAGTTATGCAACGCATAACACGACAATCATAGAAGTCCACGCCCGAGGACTCCTCGTCACTCTTCCGTAACGCAGACAGGCAGCCAGCCACCAAATAAACTGCTAAAAGCGCGGCAAACTCTCCATACATATCATCGCGTGCTGGTATATATGCAGCTCAACTGCAGCTGATGCTGCTGCTTCAAGCTTACAGAGTACGTGTATGTCGAGGTGGTGGTGGTGGGGCCGCTGGCGATGAGGCGCTGAGGTGCCCGCTCCCTCAAGTATGACTTCACCTCATCCCACGTTGCCTGCATACATGACCACCAAAGCCTAAACCCCGAACCTAAACTACAACCCGTTGACCCTCACTGTGGCAGCCAGCAGTCATTCACGGGCGGTGGTGCCTCCGAAATACCTCTCCAGAATCAATCATCTGCTTCGTCCGCGGGTCGTTGACAAGCCTGTCCCGCGTGGTTTCAATGTATTTCCTTAGCTCCTCAACAGTCCCATACGTCTGGGTCTGTGGAGCTGAGTCGCGGGATTCCGCCTGCTGCTGTCACAAATCCCACCCCACAACAACGCAACGCGAGCCGTACACACACGCAGCACGTACGCTTTTGTTGAAGGCACATGTTATTCAGGCTACTACCAAAAGAAAGAAACACGTTCCACCCTTTCGCCTGTTCCGCGGCTGTATCATTGGGCCATCCGCCTACAAACTAGACCCCCGAACCCCCATTTATAGCCTCAGTGTCTAGCTGCTCGCCTTCCCCTGCCGTCTGATCCAAACACTCGTTTCTTCTGCCCCTTTGGCCCAAAAAACACCAATATGCGCCGTTCTTTGCGGAAACAAGCAAAAAGATACACATGAATGGCCGCCCTATAATCCTCACCTTCTCAGACATCGCCACAAAATAGCAACCAAACGAGAAATGCCAAACAGCAGGCTTTTTTCTTGAAAACGCAAATTCTGCACAGTGAATCTTCGCAGGCGGTCAGAACTCCACGGAATGATTAAATGCTGGATATGTTTGCCGCTGTGTGTTGCTGCCTTCCCTACTGCTTCCGTGTGCTGCAGGTGGCAGCCACCTCGTGGCTTACACTCGCCATAATACAGCGGCGCTTACTGCTTCTACACTTCCCATTTCCCCGTCCTTTTGACGCATTACCGAAAAAAAGAACACTTTGCTTTATATCTTCGATGCACACAAAAACATCCAACTTCTGTGCAGCGGCAGGCTCTCTCCAATGGCTCTCGTCACTTCGCTTCCCACCCAGCCTTGGGTTTCCCTGTTGGGGGATCAACGGAAAGTAAATCTTAGTTATTTCATTTAATTCAAGTTGCACTGCAGTAGGGAGTTTTCTTTAATCCAATATCAGAATTAAAGATACTTATATAATGGCTGCATTTCCTTCTGTTCTATATCGACTCTCTGCCGTGCATGGCAGCTTTAGGGTTATTGCTGTCGTTGCGTTTTTGCTCTTTTGGGGTGGAGACTGATGGAAATCGGTGCTGATGTGGAGAATTTGTAGGTATATTCTCTATAACCCTGTTTATATAATTCTAGCTGTTCCTCCCAAGATGCACGCGTGCCGCAGCTCAGCGCATTTCGCACACGGCAACCCAGTGGTCACCGGGCGGAAGGGCGATGCAGAAAGAGTGTTTAACGATGGGGAGGATAGACTTTGCAGGGTTTCACTCAGTTTATGAGGCATTACTGCTACTCTGACATATTTTCTCCTCGTAGATCATTTGTTTAGAAGGTTTGTCGGTTGGACGTGAAGGGTACCTTCCTGGATGAGCGGCTGTGACGCATGGGCTGATACTCACTTTTTTTTGAATATTTAGACGCCCCGCACTTTCCCGCATCAACTAGGAGCTCCCCTATTTGTTTGTTCTGCCTCCTCGTTGTCTCGGTTCAGTTTGTGCTTACTCAGCAAGTCTGGCGAGTGACGAGCAGCGTACTGCATGTACAGGTGTTGCAGCGTGCAGGCCTTTGCACTACGTGTTCATTGTTGTATCGTTGCCTGAGCGCATTCCTGTAGAATAATTGAAATCAACACTTTCTTCAACTTACTATAGCGGGTACCCTGCAATACCCAAAGCCGAGTGGCCGGTAGGCAGACTCCCCCCATATTTCACTTCAAGGCTTTCGTTTAAGAGACGGACGGAGAGGCTTGAACGCCCTTCATTCCTGTTCTCCTGGCACAGCGCGTCATCTCCCTGACGCAATTTCTCTACCTACAATGTACATGTTCCCCAAGGCCTAAATATCTGCCATGCACGTGGGCAAAACTAGGGAGTATTCTGGGTTCGTGCATCCTAAAGCCTACACCCAAATCACCAGCGAAGTATATTGATTTCCCAGCTAGTGAGCTATTAAAGGCCGAGGCATCCAGACGGGAAGGTCTATCTCCTTGACCGTAATCCCTCCACCTAAGTTACTGAATCTCAAGCCCTAGAAAGGAACAGCAGGCGTATTCGGGGTGCCTCCCCCTGATCCTCATCGTCTAATAGAGGAGCGGCACTTCATCTATCGGGAGCATAGATGTAGCGCTTAAGGTATAATCCCTGTAAACTCAACCTTACTGTCCCCCCACACCACAGGAAATGCTGAGTTCGCAGCTGTGCGGGTCCCCCCCTTGCTCTCCCTGGGGCTTGGCCGCTGCACAAGTCGGGGGGGCGGTTGCCTTCCTGTTGCTTGCGCGAGAAACACTCCTCCTGAAACGGTCGAAACAACATTGAACAGAGGCAGGCAGTAGCGGAGAGCGATCAACGCAGCATTAGTGGTAGCGGCAGCAACTGCATCAAGTGCAGCAGCCACAGGGGATGCAACATCGGCAGTACCATGTAGCAGCAGCAACAGTAACATTCTTCAACAGTAGCCGCACCCAGGAACATTAGCAACAACGTCCAGCAGCAGCAGCAATAGCGGCGAGAGCAGCTCACCTTCTTCTGAAGGGGCAGGGAGGAAGCCCCGCAAGGGTTTGTCCTGGAGGCATATTGGGCCTCCTACGATAGCAGCGTCCGACCCTCGCATTGAGAACCGCCAAGCAATCATCAAAACAATTCGCATCTCCGTCTTCCTCGATGCTTGCAGTGCGCACCATCGTCACCGGATCCCCACGCGACGGATGCTCACGGAAAGAGGCAGCAGCAGCAGCTGCTCCACTGCTGCTGCTGCGAACTTCAGAAGACCCATGAGCTGGAGCGTGCGGTGGCCCTACAGAAGAGCTCCGCGGGCACCTGGAGGGCCCCCTTGAGTGCCCCGTTGGGGTAGGGCCTGAGGAAGCTAATTGCGGGGCCCGTGCCCCGTACGGCATTGCGGGGCCCTGCGACCCCAAAACAGACAGAGTTGGTGGGTAGGCATAGTAAGGTGAGGGGCCCTGAGGACGCAAGGTGGGTTGGGGTGTTGTTTCTTCTTGGGAGCCCCCAGGGAAGAAGATAGGCTGCATCTGTGCCTGTTCCGGTACCACAGTAGAGGGCTGGCAGCAGACGGACACAGGAGAAGGCCCTGCGTAGGGATTTGCTGCTTCAGCTGCTGCAGCAGACGGCACTGTACCTTCTCCTCCAAAGACCTTTGCGCAGTAAGCCCCGCTATTGGAAGAGGGGCCGCCTGCTTGGAGGAGCTCCGCGGGGCCCACCGAAGCCAAGGGAATGTTGAGGGGCTGCTCTGGGGGGTATACGGTCCTGCTTTTCTCTTTGCCGAGCGCGAAATCTGTGGCAATGCCTTCGCGACTTCTTTTGACAACATTTACAATTCTCGCAGGCAAATAAGGGAGCAGGGGTGTCCCAGGGAACCCCGGGACCCAGCGGATTGCCCTGGGACTGCACGTAGGTTGGACTCCGCAGAGGCCATTGAAAGACGCGGGAGCCCAAGATACAGAGGGGCCAAAAGGTGCGCTAGAGGGGGGCCCGTTCAGGGGTCCCTCGCAACTGCTGCTGGGGGGAACAGGCGAGTGCAGGACCTGAACATGTGGTGTGGCAGGGGGGAACGCAGGATGCGCCGTACCCGGAGAAGCCACTTGGAGGGGAGGGCAGCCCCTGGAGGGGGTCCCTTCCCTGTGGGGGGCGCCGAAACTGCCTGACGACCCTCGAGAAGGCAGGTTCCCTGTCTGTGGATGGTTGGGGTCCCTCAGAGATCCGGGGGACCCCTCAGAATGACCACCCCTCAAAGAAAGAGCAGCAGCAGAGAGGCTGGGTAGGGACTCAACTTCACCACTTGGTGCATGCGACGGGGGCGCCGAAACACTCCACGTTCTGGTGTCTTGCATTCGTGATCCGGTTAGCTGCTGCTGCACGTGCTGCTGCTGATGCTCTTGCTGTTGCTGCTGGTGGTGCTGCAGTTGCTGTTGCTGGGGCAGTCGCTGTTGCATGTGCTGTTGTCCGCTCTGACTGCGTTGTGGATCATTGGGTGCAAAAGTAGCAGCACCATGCAGGGCGGTCCCTCTTCCGACAGAGGAGCTGAGGTCCCTCTCTCTTGCTGCAGCGGCTGCTGCCGCAGCAGCAGGTCCTGCTGCACCAGTTTCTGGAACAGGCTGCTCGCTTCTGGGGACGGTCTTCGCTTGATTGTCTACCCTTTCCCTTTCTCCTCTTTCTGTGGGAGCAGCTGAACTCAGGGAGGAGGGAAGGCCCCCTGAGGAATTGCTGGTGTCGCAACCGCCGCAAAATAGAGTCGCCTGGCCCTTGACCTGCAGCTCGTAATTTTGGGGCCTCAGGCGGGCCCCCGAGACACCCGCAGTCGAGGGGACAAAGATGGGCGCCCTCAGTTGCCCGGGAAGGCCAGCAAATTGAGGTGTACGTACAGCGTGGGGCGCTGGCATTTTGGGGACTGTATTTGCTGTTGGAGGCACACGCGAGGCTGGGAGTGAGCTTGCAGGTTGGCGTGGGTGGGTCGCCCGGGTGTCTCGTTGGGGGCCCTTTTCTGGGCCAGGGTCCCCCAGCAACTCGCGTGCAGGCGTCCTCGTCTGATGAGCAAGAGGGCCCTGTGCTCTTGTCTTTCCCCGAAGATACGTAGAAGACACAGAGGCAGAAGCAGGGGAACGCCCCCTCCGCGTCCAGGGCCTCAGGGAACTCTGCAGCAGTAAATCGCTCTTGCTATCTGTTGGCCTGTAGCGCCTCCTCGGCTCCTCTGGCAGACAGTAGCTGCTGCCTTCCTCCTCCTCTGCTGCTTCTCTTGCATCCGCTGCTGTAGTACGAGCTGATGGTGCTTCTGTAGCAGCACGACGGGCAGGGACTTCCCAGGAGGCCCCACCCTTTGAAGCCCTGAAGTGTGGCAGTCGGCGGTCAGCTTCAGTCAAATGAGGTTCCCTTGGGCGACCCCTGGAGTTGCCCTGCATCTGCACAGCCGGAGCTGTCTGCGGGTATTCAGGGGCCCCCATCTGCATGCAGGTCGTCGGGTGCTCCTTGCAGGTGACCGCAGAAGAAGTAGTGCCTGGGGGGCCCCAAGGGCCTGGAGGTACTGCACAAGGCATTTCAACAAGCTGAAGATACGCCTGCTGAGGCTGGGGGGCTCCCTGATGAGCTGGGTGGCCCCAGCACGGAGAGACAGCGTTAGCAGGGGACAGGGGGACGTGGGCATGCACGCAGTATAGGTTGCATCCAGAGCCCCCTGCACCGCAAGACATGGTCCGGGGGCCCTCTGGAAGCCCATCTTGAGCCCGCGCAACTTGCGCGCAGCGCTGCTGCACGGGGCTCCTCCCTGTGGGGTTCAGGGGCCCCTCAGAAGAGCCCTCACGGGCGCTTCTGTCACGAGGAGACAAGCGGGGGCTGCTGCTGCAGATATGATTTGAAAGAATGGGCGGCGAAGGGCTGGGCCCCCTCTTAGGGGAAGTAGATATGCCGAGCTGGGGGGGCCCCCAAATCTTGTCAGTTGGACTCTCCTGGATGAGGCTCATCACTTCGTTCTGCACACAGCAGCAGCAGCAGGATATTGGATCACACGTCTGTTCCAGACAGCCAGGTGAGTATGAAGAAGCCCATGTACCCATGCTGCATGCATTGAATGCACAACTTGAGATGGCGTCTTGAAGACTTCTGACTCACCCGAAGCGCCGAGGCCTCCCTCAAGAGCTTTTTCCTGCTCTCTTCTGATCTCTCCGGTTTCCGGCCGACCCTGCTGCTATCTTCCTTGTCATTAGATGCGCTACTGCTGCTGCTGGTGTGGCGGGGGGCCGTTGCTGTTGAAGGGCGGCCTTTGGAACCCACCTCGAGGGGATCGTCTCCGTTCCCTTCCTTTTGTGTGTTGAATCGTGGGGTGAAACAGTTTGCGTTGTTCTGGCGCTTCTCGTGCTTTTCTTCCTCCGCGGTGGAGTGTGAAGCTAACTGCTGCTGTTGCTGCCTTGCGGGGGAGGCCCTCCCGTGGGGCCCCTGAAAAAGAGGAGGTTCTGCCTTCAGCCTCAGTTGAACTTTGAAAAAGAGCCTTGTGTGCTGTGCCTCGCCCTCCCTTTCCTTTGCATCTTCTGTCTCTGAGTAAAGAGGTGTTGGAAGAGGAGAGACATCTCGTGGGTACACCACAAGGGCTTCAGAGATACTCAGGGGAGGCGGATGCCAAACAGTAGGCTGCTGCGGCCCCATGACGCCCGGCAAGTCCTCTTCTGGTGTACCGATACCTAAGGCTTCATTCAACTCAGGCTCCGTGTCCCCGTTTTCACGGAACCCTCCTGCTGGTGCTGCTGCTGCCGCTTCTCCGGCTATTGCTGTTGCTGTCTCTGGTGAAGCGAAGGCGTTAGGACTCAGAAGTGCGGGGCCCTCATTAAGATGGGGAGAAGGTTCCGCAGCAGGCGGATCGGGTGAGTTCCCTTCTTGGGGGGCCCTTTCCTCGGGGCCCCTTTCCTCGGGGCCTGGATTCTCGGGGCTCCCTCGCTCGGGGACCCCTTCATTGCCGCTGGGGGGCCTTTTTGTCTCGTTTGTTTGTGGTGTATTTACAGCAGGAGAGGGGCCCTCCCTTTTTTCATTGCTGAACAAACGGCGAACAGCTGCGCAACTGAAGCCTTCCCGGGGGTACGGGGGCCCCTCCCCAGCGTAGGGGGGCCCCTCTTCTATATCATCGGTGCCGAAGTGAAGGGCTGTGAGGTTAATAGGGTCACCATTTGTTGCTGCTGCTGTTGCTGCTGCTGTTGCTGGTGTTCCGGATAAGCTAAGGTGAATAGGCACCTCGGCAATAGGGCTGAACTCCGTGGGTTTGTCTTTCGTTTTGAGGGAGAGGGGAGGAACGTTTAAAGGTGCATGCTTTGCTTTGCTGCTTTTGGGTGCCCTGAAGGGCTCTACAGAAGGCACTTGCAATTGAAAAGGGAGTTCTTCTTCAGCCAAAGCAAAACGCATAAAGCGGCTGCTGCCTTGAAGGCGCTCCAGCATGCGGCACAAACGACCTACGCGAGACCCCTCCAGAAGTCGCCAGTCTGCCCCGCCGCCCAAGAGGATCTGCAGGCCCAACCACAAACCCTAAGCCCTAATCCCTAAACCCTAGACCCTAATGTGCAGACCATAGGTATTAAATTCCAATCCATGAACTCTTAAGCTTTCTTCTTGCAACCAGCCCGACAGGCTTAACCAATAGGGAGCAAACCCCCAAGCAGCTGACGGCAGGCCGTCAGCCTAAACCGTAAACCCTAAACCCTACACCGCTAAAGCTGCTTGCCTTGGCTTGGAGATGTCTGATTCTCTCGCGCGTTTCGCCAACAGCCCGCAATCTCTCTTCGGTAGTTGGGAGCCACCATTCGTTTTGCCTCTGAAACCGCAGCAGCTGCTTCTGCTGTTTCCGCAACAAGGAGACACCGAGAAAGAGCGATTCACTTTCTCTCAGTACCGAACGGTGAAGAGAGAACAGGCGGGACCTGACCAACCACAAAAAAATGTTTGGCTGTTACGGAGGATTTAGGAGTTTGGGGTTTGCTTTGTTCAAGACAGCGCAAACGCCAATAAAACCCTCTTGGAACTTAAGAGAAAGGCACAATACAGGCGCCGAGGGCCCCCTTCAATACGAGGCCCTCCAACAGGAAAAACAAACAAAACCTTGCAGCTGCAGCAACAGGCGCGGCAGCAGGGTCAGCAGCAACAGCAAGCACAGCAGCAGGAGTAGAGTTACAGTTCTTGGCACAGCGGCAGGTGCAACAGCAGCAGCAGGAGCATTCTCAGGAGCAGTAGAATGCAGTGGACAGGTGCAGACTTGCATGCATACTTGTGGGGAGGCAGGAACTGTCTTTCAATTCTTCTGCGGATGCCGGAAACTGCGCTGGCGAGGCGAAGGACGGCGAGAGAAGGTGCGAGAGACTCTCGGGAGGGGCAGAGAGTAGCCAGCAGTAGTAGAAAGCCGGGAGCCTCAAGGGGGCCCCTCAAAAGAGTTGTTGCTGCGGACGCCCCCCATGCAAATGAATCCAAAGAAGCAGGGGACTCCGATAGACGCAGCAGACACTCTGTCAGATAAAACAAACTCCTGTTAACCGAACTTCCTGAGCCAACAACCACCGCATATGCACACATACCCCATTCCCGTCGTATCTTATTATCCTGCTGCAGCTGCTGCTGCCGCTGCTGCAGATCCTTATCTTGCTGCCGTAAGTGCCACAGCCGCTGCTACAGATGCACAAGCTACTAGCGCAGATGCTAGAGACGCAGGTATTGGCGCTCGTAGAGGGGATGCTGTGGTACAAAGAGTACAGAAAAAGCCAAACACAACAAACAAACCTGAAGGCTGGTTCAAGAGTGTCTCTACTCCGGCGGCCTCGAAGAAAGTAATATCTGCCTTTAGGATTGAAACTGACTCCTTGGGAGAGGAAGCCTCAGTCTGTCTCCCTTCGTCTACTGGCCTTGCCCTTGCCCCTCTCCCCTCTGCTGCTCTTGCTGCTGCTGCTGCTGCAGGGGAGTGCTGGGGGCAAAGGAGACAACACGCTCGCTCCACAGACAGTCTGAGGAGACAGTTGGTCCCCTCACTGCCCAAGACAGCGTCTCTTGCCTTCTTGAATGCGACAGCCCTGATGCACAACCAAACAAACAACCAATAATATAGCTATTAATAAATACAGAAATTCAGAAATAAATAAACTAATATCAAAGACAAAACAGACTAGACGGAAGAAATTGCAGGCGCCTCGGTTTTATCCCTGACATTTTATACAAACGGCAAAAACCGAAACGGAACCATGGCAGAGAAGCAGACAAAAGACAGAGACAGCAACAGCCACAGACAGAAAAGACAGACAAAGATAAGAACAAATGCAAAGGAAAATTTCGAGACAAAAAGACATGCAAAGAAAAAGAAAACGACACGGACAAAGACAAAACCACAGGACAGAGGCAGATACTGGGACCTACAGAGGAGAGACAGGCAAAAGCAAAGACAAAGGTAACGGACAGAGGTGGAGACAAGCAAAGCGGCTAGGGCCGAGACAGAAAAGACAGAGAAAAAGACAGGTACAGACGACGAAGTACAGAAACAGACACGCAGGTGAACGGGTGACACATAGGATAGGCGATTAAAAAAATCTGGATGGAGACCGGAGAAGAGGCTGAAGTACACGAGAAACGGCGACAGAGAGCCAACGGCAAAAATGCTCTGTTTGTGTGCCTTGGGGGCAGCAACCGATCGCCTTCCCGCTTCAAGAAAGATAAGAGACAGACATTTTGTCTCCTTTTGCTTTTTTCTCGTTGCGGTGTTTGTTTGTGGTTTTTGTTCTTCTCTCTATGCGTGGGGTTTTCTTTGTGTTTTTCTTTGTGTACAGCACTTAGGGTTGTGGGGCATAGTGCGTATCATTATCCCCTTACCTTGCCACGAGGTGCACGGCTTCTTCGAGTGTGTGTACATCTGCTTCTTTAACAGGACTATGTGTCTCTCCGTTGCTATCTCCTTTTCTCTCCGAATCTCTTGTACACACGGGTGGAATCCGCTGCCCAGGCCAATAATGCCCCTCACAGCCCCGCAGCAAATCCCCCACATCTTCCCCTCGAATCTCCACAAAAGAAATACGCACGCTAAACTCACCACCCAGCACGCCTGCCTCTTCGCAGGGACAATTACAAGAACCCTTGGACGGGCCCCCAGAAGATTCCCCAGAAGGCTTCCTAGAAGGGCCCCCGGAGGGGCCCCCAGAAGGGCCTTCAGGAGGGCCCTCAGAGGGGCTCCCACGAAGAGTCCCCAAGGGTCTGTTGTTGGTGCCCGTGGGAGATTTCTGGGGGGCTCCTAAGAGGCCCCCTGTCCAAGTGGCGTCAGCAGCACAAGAGGGTATGTGCTTTGCAGATGCGGAGGTGGGGTTGTTGTACGAGGCGATATGTGAAAAGAGATCGGAAAGAGCAGAAAATATTAATCCTGGAGACTGATGGGATCCGAAAAGAGAATGCGATTTGCCACTAGCAGAAGTGCCGCAGGCTATCACCAAACTGCTTATTCCCTGCTCACAAGCCCAGGCCAATAGCAACAGCAGCAGCAGCAAAGAGGCGTTGACTGTATGGAGTGCCAGGCCTGAGTTGCTAGAGACACGGGGACACTGGCGAGTGGAAAAGATTTGGAGAAACAACTCTTGAAGGTTTAGGCTTTAGGGTTTGCGCCTGACTTCTGTTGATGAGAGCACAAGAGGCTGGAGGGTGTTCACATACAGAGCCGTGTTGCCCGCATTCGCATCAAAAACCCTACAGACGCACAACAATGCAGAAATGTCAGTGTATATACAAACATATATATATTTACGTATGCATATGTACATATATATATACATATTTATATGCACCCTCGTCTCTGTCGTACACTAAAAACAAAAACAAGCTAGGGGGACCCAAGGAAACGAGGGCGAAGCGCTTTCTGGAGGCGCCTTCTCGGAATTCCTGTTGAAGGAGTGTTTGGGCGACGGTTTAGGGTTTATACGCACTCCCCGCTGACACCGAAGGAAGTAGAGGGGGCTGACGTGGGGCTAGCAGGAGATGCATTTGCTTTTTCTTTTGCCGCTCCCGGAAGAGCAACTGAAATGCAGTTCTTTGAAACAACAGAATACAAGGGGCCCCCAACTGCAGCAGCAGCAGCAGAGATAGTAGGGGGGCGCAGGCGAATGGAAACCTGTGCCTGAGCGAAGGTGGAAGGTACTTCAGTGGGGAAACGAGAAGAAGCTAAGCCAGTCATCCTGGTTGTTGCTGCTGCGGACACTCATCATACAGCTGCTGCTCCCCCTCAAGCTGGTCCTGCTGCTGTTGCTGCTACTTCTGCTCTTATTGCGGCCGTTGAAGATGGTGGTACTGCTACTGCTGATGATGATGTTGGAGCTGCTGGTGTTCTGGCTGCTAGGGGTGGTGATGCTACGGCGGCTGAGAGTCCAACGACTGCTGCAGGTACCGTTAGTGTTGCTGTTGTTGTTACTGCTGCTTCGTCGGCAACCAAAACTGCGGCGGAATTCCCCCCAAAAGAGGATTTGCCTAAGGAAGGGACCCTGAACCTCTTCCAGAAAGAAGCTCTAGGCCGGCAGGTTGACCCTATGTCTCGTTGTTTTTGTTATTTGTTTGTCGAGCTGTCCGTTGTTCTTTATACAGCCCCAAGAGGAGCTTCCGATTTGCAACGGGCCATCTAATGGTCTTCATTTGATGGCCCTCTGCCAATCGGAAGCTCCTCCTTGGGCGAGATGCCGAGGAAGTTGAAGCAAATTTTGGGGTTATTAATGAAATTAAAATAAAATAATTCGTATTTAAACACATAAATGAAACCGTATTACGGCAAAGGACAGAGCAGGGGGGGCCTCACAGACAAACTGCTCAGACCGCCACGGGCCTCGGCAGCACCAGCAGACCCAGCAGGCGCAGGGGCAGGTTTATGATCCTCAGATAGTAACTGCAGTATTGCAACAGCTGAGCTATTCAAATAAATATAAAATTCATTTAGCTTAATTTCGCTAATATTTATTGCAAAACAGAACTGAACCGCGCGCTCTTGCCGTGTGTTTTTCCTCACGTGCACCTGAACCCCTCCCGCCCGGTGGTCTGGGCGCTCGTGTGCCAATTTCAGTCGTTATAGCTGCAGAAATCACAATTTCAAAATCATTTCAAAACCTTAACAATTTTTAACACACAAATAACCCTATTAATCTCCCTTCACTGGGAAATGACGCTCGCCAGTGAATGTAGGTCCTCCTCCTCTCCGTTGGACACAACTAAGTAGAAAATAATAATTTTCACTTTTCTTTGCGCAGTTCCAGGAGAGAAAGAGTGAAACAACTACCTCGAGCAACTACGCTTACTTTTTCTAAGTCTCGAGACCTCTTCAAGTTCTTCAGGTTGCTGTTTGGATACCGCCGCTCTACGCGCGATTGAAAGCTGAAATATGCAGCTTAACGTGCTTTTTGGCAATAATGTTCACGATCACTATACTGATAAAGTACCTGAAGGATACTGTTGCAGAGAGTAAACCAAATATGTCGAGGGTGCTGCCGGCGCATGCAGATGAATGTAACAGCGGGAGCGCTCTAAGGCGTGCAGGTTTGCCTTACCAATACCAGTACTAGTACGCGTTAATGGGCACAAAAGCCCCCTTTTTTCTTTCGTGTATATGTGCAAATGTATATGTTTCGGCTTATTTACATATTACGCATATATATATGTATACAAGCATATAATATATATATATATATATATATATATATATA